GGAAGAGGAAACAGCCACCCATATCATCTTCGATTGCGCAGCAACAGCTCAATGGAGATTTAACCTAACGTACGAAAAAAACTTAGGGAATGAAAGTATAGCAGCGACAGTCAATGACCTGACACTTCTAAGTAGAAGGATTAAGTCTATTGCACTGAATTAAGAACTAGGAAGGTACAATAAACCACAAGGCTGCAGTGCCTGGTGAGACAAACCCTGCCTTCAAGTATCCTTATTACCAGGCCATAGCTCCGTACATAAGAATAGGTCATACCATCATTGTGTACATCCAAAACAGTTTTTACGGTCTGCATCCCCAGTTTTTTCCCGCTATTCTTCTGCACACCATCAAAGCAAGTGTCGCCTTAATGATGGTGGAGCTGATATGTTCCTCAAACGTCAGTGTTTTTTTATTTAGTGGCCTAGGTATTTAGCCTCTTTTTTAATTTCCCAGTATTATTGAGTGTTATATATTACGCAGGGTGGGCTACCAAGACCCGAGGGGTTAAATGCCTGGGTAGACTCGTACACCATCCCTAAAAGGTCCGGGACTTGGTCGGCTCACGTGTCCTGCATAAATCTCTTGGAGTTGTTCACAAACCCCAAGATTTTGGGCCATTATTGTGAGTTATCGTGTTATCTGCCTCGTGTGATACAATTTCTTTCCTATTCCGTGTAAACTATGGTTGCTTTATTTGGGTTGATTCCCCACAGGGGTTTTACTACATTCATCTATTATTTTTAGCCCTTCTTGGATTATGTCACAGAGAGTTTCCTCGAATCTTACCCTGGCGGTCAGGACTGTATCACCTAAATATCCCTCACATATATCCCTTTACGGTCCAGATTTTCGAGCAATTCGTCAACTGTTACCAGAGGAAAGGTGATAGCACCCTCTCGTTGCGAACATCCTTTGGTTGTGCTGATTTGCTGTCTCTTCGTATGCTTGTTTCAGCTTTTCTGGTTCTTAACATTTCTCCAATCCATCTAGATGTGGTCTGGTCAACGTGTTTTTTCTCTAAGGGGACTTTCATGGATGCATGAGGTCGATGATGATACAAAGATACCAACTGAGTGATTTATCTTTGTTCAACCTGTATTATAGAAAAAAAGTTTGAATAAATTTATTTGTCTCCCCTCCCGCGACGTTTATATAAATTTCTTTTTTCGCGGGTTCAATCAATATCTAATGTCAATCATCTATGGTCATATTATACCGACGATTATTTTTCTTAAAGGACACTGGAGAAGGTGTATAAAAGCTTGTGAAAATCGCGTAAAACGTTTTTTCCCACGGCGGTATCCGATTCGCCGGTGGTACGGGCAAATTTAAAATTGCAATTTACACCGAGGGAGGGTATTATTTTTTTCGCCTGTTTACACCACGTTCCCATGGTCCCGAATGTGAATAAACCGTAACCGTGACGTAAGAACCACAACAGAAGAATCTACAGTTAGCACGATGAGAATTCACATGATACGTCCATTCTCCCCCGTCAAGTTCGAAACAATTCAAAAACAAGGTCGATAAACCCATTTTATTATATTTGAAACACAGGCCCGTTTCGAATTCAACCGGGTGAGAACAAACTCGGTCGGCATTAATAGCCATTCCCCTTGAAACTCCTGAAGATGTCAACAACAAACAACTCAACAATACAAAAAATATCCATGGTCAACTCCTTTATTATATCAAGATAAACTTTTTTTTAATATTTAGTCCTTTTCAACTACTCGAAAAAATCCATTTATAATTATTTAGAAATCGTGAGATGCGGTCTGGTGTGATGTAAGTTTCAGAAAAACATTTTCTTTATCATGCAACTTTCGATCTTTATTGAGATCATCAGAGTGACTCTCGACACGACACGCAAGAATGGCACAATTACACAGAAGACAAACACTTTGAGCCCTGAAGATGATCTCAATAAAGATCGAAACGTTGGCACGATAAAGAAAATGTTTTTTTGAAACCTACATCACACCGGACCGCATCTCACAATTTCTAAATAAATATCGATTAACGGTCACTAATCACCACACATCCATTTATAATATTTCTTGAAGAGTTTGCCCCATATTTAGCCCCTTATTTAATATGATGGCTTTACAAAAGATATAATCGAAATGTGCAGAGAATTTCTAGGCCTAATTAATTTTTATGCTGTTGGTAAGCATACGGCATTGTCGTGACTTTTCTAATAGCCTTAGCAATTACGTTTTATTTGACTTTATTTTCTTCCATGGGATTTGAGTAATAGCATTATTTTAAATAACGAGTGATCATTAAATATTTTTAAAGACTTTCAAGAACAACCGAGCATAACGTTAATTTATAGTTAAGAATCAATACAATTCAGTTTATAAAAATTGCATGTCAAAAAAAAAATTGAAAACGAATTCTCCTATTCAATTCCAGCCATAAATATCGTTTTCAAACAAAACAGTGCTAATCCAACAATGAAAAGTCAAAGTGGGCTTGATGAGAGAAAAATGGGCAATAAAACCCGGGATATATGGCCAGCTGTGAACTAGCACATATCCCAGAGGTATGGAGGCACATAACGGTATACCTAATGGAGGAGATATGCAAATTTGGCAAAGGGAGTACCCAAATACCCAAAATTCTAACTTTCTTTACCCAAAAGGCAATGGAGAAAATTGTAGCCCAAGAAATTAAGGTCATCAATAATCCTCTACATGACCAATGACATGCATACCAAAGGGGAAATCTACGGAGACAGCCCTAAATAAATTGGTAGTAATAGTTGGTAATTGTTGATAAATCGTTAGAAAATAAAAGAAATAGCTCTCTGCTGTTTCATGAACAAAGAGGGAGCTTTTCACAACATCTTGTACAATGCCGTTAAAACCACCATACAAAGAAAAGGTATAGACCTCCCGACTACAAATTGGATTTTAGCAATGCTAAGGAGTTCGTTCTGAATCCGAACAAGCCAGAGCTAGGATGGGTACCAGTCTACGAAGAAGCAGTTGTTAAATTACTTTTGAGAAGAAGCTGATTAGGCTTATGTTGATAACAGTTGTTGGCTTTCTTAGAACATAAATTCTGTATATTTCCAGTCATTATGTATGTGATTAGTGTGAAGCATCACATTGAAGATTTGTGTGAGTATTGCTAGGCCTTTGCGAGAGGGCTTGTAGTCATGGTTGGGTTATCTTACTATGAAATTCATATGTTAGAGAATTATCGATAATGGTCTTTATCGCCTACCATAAAAATTCTTTAAATGAAACAAGCTGTAAGTGTTGGTATTGTTTGTTGCTGAGAAGGTAAGGTTAGTATCAGGGTTTGGTGGGAATTTCTGCTGCCATATGTCTGAGGTGATGCATTTTCAATTTAGCATACCGTTTTGTTGTACGTTAAAGAATGGATTGCATTCAGGTCATAAAATAAGTCTGCAAGGGTTTCCAATAATTCGCTTTTTCCCTCTTATGTTTTGAAAAAAGGACAAATTTTGTTATGGAAGATACAGAGCCTCCTGGACTTTCTTCAACTGTTAATGATGATTGAAAAAGATTAGCCAAGATCGAACACAATAGACGAAAGGTTAAGCGATTAAATTATCACTAAGATTCCAAATTGAACAAAAAAATATATTACTTTTTTAATTTTATCTAGTTTAAATGGTTGAACTGTTGGAACTTAGGAGATTTAAATGGCCGTTGAGAATAGACTTGATTTTGAAAGCCCTAAAGATGATGTCCATACTTAACCTAACTTAACCCAACCCAACCTTTGCACACTCTGGTTTACTCCCCATATTAAAATATCACATTAATTAAAGGTTATTTTTGTTTTTATATTCTTTTTACATTTTTATATACATTTTAATTTTAAATATGAAAAATCATTGACTCGGGGATTGAAGTTATGGTGTCCCATGTGGTAGAGCATCAGGGTTCACCTAAGACTGGGGTTTGTATCTGTGATAGTGATGTTTTTATCTGAAATTATGTGTATAAACTAAAAATAAAAGTATTACGTAGTGCAAGTAAATTTTGACAAATCAGTGAGAGACAAGATCTGAACATTTTTCCAAAAGTCACGCTTTTCAATAAATAATTCACTATTTTCGTGGTTTGCTTGACCAATTAATACATAACAATTAATTAAGGTTTTTAGTTGAGATGAAAAAAAGTTAATGGCACGAGAGGGATTCGACCCCACGATCTTCGGCTAGATACGCCGCTGCTCTACCACCTGAGCTATCGTGACCTCAATCCACTCGGACATCCACTCCCCATCTCAACCCCACCTTAAGGAGGGAAAACTCATAAAGTGGGGTTGAGATGGGGAGTTGATGTCCGAGTGGATCGAGGTCACGATAGCTCAGGTGGTAGAGCAGCGGCGTATCTAACCGAAGGTCGTGGGTTCGAATCCCTCTCGTGCCATTAACTTTTTTTCATCTCAACTAAAAACTTTTCAATAATTATTAAAGGCACTACTTTTTAATGTTTTGTATTTTATATCAAAATGTACCAAAATTTTTGTTAGCCTTACTCAAATTAAAAGTATAAAGTTTGATTATTATTTTTTTTTAGTTGCAACCCATTCAGGCAGTTTTAAATTTATTGAAATCGTAATCAAGCTCACTTTATAGCCAGGTTTGATGTTATACCTCTTTAAAAATTTATAGATTTTTTTAATACATTTTTATTTGCGCAGAAATACACACTGGTTTACCTCTTGGTTTGGCCAAAAAGTAAGAGTTCACATGTCATGTCCTATGCTTAATCAGGTGATGATGACCTTCATCTATGAGTCAGATTCTCCGAGGGCCACCTATCGACAGTGTTCTTGATACATGAAGCTTCTCTGCCAATTTCTTTTAATTTTTTTTTTTTTCAAGTCTGGAGGTTGGGACTGGGGAAGTCAGGGTTAAAACATAAAACTCACTTTTATCACAGAAATAGTTCGGTGTTATTTTATTTTATTTTTTTAATTAATATTTTTATTCCAAAACTTTTGTGTGAATTTAATTTTTTTTCTTCCAATTTTCGATTAAATAAATACCATCTCTCTTGCTTAACATTACTAACACAAATAATATATATTTATATATATTTATTGTTTATACTCAATACCAACTTTTTATAATTTTTTTAAATAGTTTTATTATAAACATCTGGAATGAGGTCTCTCCAGTGACCAATGACGCCACTCGGCGAAATGAGCACCATATAAAATTACAAAAATTAAACATACTTTTTTTCTTCCAAACTATCTTTGGAAGTTTTTTTCTAGTTAAATATTTGAGTTTATAATTCACCTAAAATACTTCACTTGTAACACTTGTTTGAAAAACCAATGTGCATTTAAATACAGCTGCTCAGAAAGCAAGACTTAAATATTATAGTGTAATTTTAATTGCTGTTATTGCTAACTGAATTTTTTTAAATAGAAAAGCAATAGTTTTTTTAATAACCCGTAGAATAAGTCATTCAAACTGATGACTAGCCAAATTATACAAGGATTTTTTTTTATCTCTCATAGTTTTTGGTTATTCTTTGGTTGATAGTTCACAAATATAGACTCAAGGAACAAAGAATGAGGGATGGAAACGTTAAAAGACAAAAAATTTTTTTTTGCAAACATAACCTGTGCACTCAAGCCAATGTGATATTTCCAAAAACATGAATATTGCTACATTCTTCTCCTTAATTAAATTTTAATAAAAATACATGACTAAATTTGAACACAAGAAGGGTAAATAAATAAATTGCTTGTTGGAAAAAGAATGAATGTGTTAAAAAAATCTCATCCGATAACAAAAATGTTTGCAGTAAACTGAGATCATTTCTGCCCAAAATGCCAGGAAGATAACACTTTATATATTATTTTGGTGTTATAAAATTAATAAGTATTACATATTATTATATGTCAATACAGTGAATATTATATGTTGAACACACTCCTTCCTAAACTCAATTTATGATATAACTTTATTGGATAAAGAATATTATGAATATAGTTTTTCAATTTTTTATAATTTTATATTTAATACAAAACTCTCGCAACCTACAATTACTTGACATATTTCGCTTAATATATTAAGATTTGGCTTTTTATAATTGCTCAGAGAATAATCCAACATTCGTACTAATTGTTAATCGTCCTTTCTTAATATTTATACTCAGAATTTAGCCGTTATCAGCTATCACAGCACCTATAAATAATGTCTTTTTTTAAACATTTGTAATGTATTTGGAATTTAAAGATCAATAATGCTTTATAAGAATATAATATACAAACGAAGAATCAATAAGCAAAACAACTCATGTTTAACACCTACAGCTACAATATAGTTTATTATAAAATCATTTAAAAATATTTAATTACAATTTAAATTGTAAAACAATATAAGAAAATAGGTTTGTACCAAGGTGAAAAACTTGTGATTATATTCTGTCTTGATCTAGAATTTTTTTTAAAATTGAAAACAAGAGAAAATAATGGAAGAAATACTCATTTTGTTCAGTCTTTGAAGAATCAACTGAATAGGGAGTTATCGGCTTGGTCCGTAAAATTTCCACTTGAAATTAAATCATAAATGATCAAATCTGTCAATGATTTTATATTACACATAAAAAAAATCAATTGTATAAATTTGTTGCTTTAGAAAGTTCATCACTCAATTAACTTTAAAACAGTTTTTATATGGGGTTGACTGCAATTTCACTGTTTGTGCCCCCATAAAAAATAAGAAAATAAAATAAAAATACAATAAAAGATTTCTTTTACCATACTTTTCTCTAATGCTTGTACATATTCATTTGCTTGTCAGCCTCAACATTAAATAGAAATTGTCAACCTAAACACCAAAACATTCTTGAGATATAATGATTTTGGGTCATTTTGTCAATTTTTATTCAGAAAAACCTGAATATTCTTACTTTTTATCTATCATGATCATAGTTGTACTAGTTTGTTGCAAAACCCAAACAAAGAAAATTAAATTGGGTAATGTTTCCTCAATTTTAGGAAATAAAAAAAATAATAAAAAACAGATTAATAACTACTAAATATAAAAATAAAATAAACTATCACAGCTAACTCTGAAGGAAAAGACCCATCGACATATTTAAAACGTTATGTCAATAGGTCACTTTAAGACTAATTTTATCAAATAAGTTAAGAAAGAATGTCCGTTTTAACATTGAATGTTAAACACTACTTTCTCCATGATTCACGTGGAGTATTGGGTATAAATATTTGCTGGAGCTACTGCTACCTAAGCTGTTTATCCTTTCTCTGTCATTAACTAATTTCGTTGAATCGTCGTCGATGTCAATCGAGACTTCGGTCAGTTTTGGTACAGAGCCGTGTCTAGAAAGGCTGAGCTTGGCTAAGGAACCAGTCCTGGATAAGTTAATGTTCAACGATCTTTCTATATCTTCTAATAGGCTGTCACCACCTACGGACGATTCTGATCTTAGAGCTGATATGTTGTGTACTTCTGCATTCACCGTGACTGAGTCCGATGAAAGAGTATTTTCTGGCAGTTCTTGTGAGTGGAAACTGGACGAGGTGATACTATCATCACAAGTTTTACTCGTGGCTAAAGGCCTGCCTAAGATTTCAGCGAGTCTTTGATCTGTCAAAAGATGAAGGCTACTCAAGAGTGGAGATGATTCTGTTGAAGTATATGAATCATCTAACCTCATGATTTCATTAACTGTTTCATGAACAGTTTCGTCATGTTTGATTTCTTCTTTATCTTCCAGTTTTTCTTCTTCCTCTTCTTTGTCTTTTTTCTTTCTTTTGAATATTCTTGACAATATGTTCCAGTGATCCTTTGCTGGAGACAAGACTCTTGAGTCAGTTCTACTCTCGACATTCTCATCAAAACGTACACTATGGCTTTCTTTGACAGGACAATGAGGTTTTGGCTTGGAATCTTTTGGCCCGAAAAACAACGAACTGGCTCTTGAAGAAATACTTGAAACTTCGGAAAAAGATTCTGGGGTTGCAAGGGGAGCCAGACCGAACCAGTCGTCGTGTATCGGCTCACATGAATGTCGCCTCATTATTGCAGGCGGGCAGGAATTTTGTTCTTGAAGTGGAATTAAGGAGTTAAACTCCCAAGGAAGGTGCGAAGTCCCACGTCCAATTTCAATATCATCTTTTGTCCCTGTCCTTCTGGATGTGAAACTCGTTTCAAGGCAGATTCTATGAGAAGGCAATGTGCTTGAACCAGCAAGAAGGTGGCAGTGCTCGAGCTCAGAAGCCGATGAAGAACTGTTATTGTTGTTGCCTGAAACTCGTTGGGGTTTAGCTGGACCTAAACTTGTTATAACCTAAAACAGACAAAAATAATATTGCCTAAAACGTTTTGTTAACAAATTGAAACAAAAATCACTTTTATACAATTCAATACATGAAAACTAAGCAAAACAAAAACTAAACAAAAAGAAACACATGCAAGCACAACATTACAGGCAAGCAACATCTACTTAATTTATTCACAAAACCTTACAATTCTGGCTCACCTCAATGTTTTATTAATTAAGGTTTTAAGTTGAGATAAAAAAGTCAGTGTCACGAGCGGGATTCAAACCCACAACCTTCGGCTTGATACGCCGCTACCCTACCACTTGAGCCATCGTGACTTAGATCCACTCAGACACTAACTTCCCATCTCAACCCCACCTTTTGAATTTTCCCTCCTTTTTGCCATTTTTCAATGTTTTATGTTGAAATACAATTATTTATTAATGATTCTACTATTATTGAACATAACATTAAATAAATATGAATTTGTATTTATACAATTTGAAACAGTAATAAAGATAAAGCTGTTCATTAAATGTAATAATTTGTATTAACCTTAATGTTTTGTTAGAAAGTATTGGTAAAATTATCCCCAGAACTCTACATTAAATCATTTATCAATTTTTTCTTGTATAATTTACAACAAACATAAACAAAATACTTACTTTCTTTCCTCTTACTCGAACAATCACACAACAGGAACATTGTCTTAAATGACCAGAATCTTAAAATGACCACATGGTCATAACTTACGATTTGACACGTGATTACATATGTAAGTTACATAGAAAGACAGGGGATCTGCTACAAAACGTCGAAAGAATAGCACCATCAATGCTTTTAAAATTGTCATAATAGACCTTAACCTAAACTTAACCTAAATAAGTATTATGTGATGAATTACTATAAAGGCAAAACTTGATCATCGTTATTAAATGGTTTGGACATTTGCTGGAAATAGGAGCCACTCAGGACTTAAAATTAATCATTAGCTATGATCTATCTTTCTAGTTACGTACTAATCGGATTTTCACTGGGCCCATCAGTTACATGAATTTACAACAATACAACCAGAAATTTCACAGGTCATTCCATTAAAAAATAATAATAATTTGAACTTTTAATCTTGCCACCATATTATAATGCCTCCAGGAAGAAAATTTAAAAAATTACTAGGAAAATGATAAATTTGATAGGATCTTAAGCCAAAGGTTATGCTAGCGTTAAAAGAACCGACCCACACCAGAGTACTAAATGGATATGCCAAAGATTGTTACTTGGCTTTATGGTCCTTATGATTTGACACATTGGAAAAGAACAAAATAAAGAAATGCAAGAGAATTACCTCAGCCATAAACCGTGTCACATCATCATCAATCAAATCCTTGCCACATCAAATGACAAACATGAAATAACTGACATAGCTAAACTTTCGTACACATGACTCAAAGATGGGAAAGGGTACGGGTATGGGCTTAAAGGGGCATGTGTGAGCACCATAGCACCATATTGCTCTCAGCACGATCAAAATCACAGAGAGGGTTGCAGTATCGTCAGCAAAGGAATGGGTTACTTTTGGGTTAAATTTGTCATGTGTGTTGAAAACCAATAGACCTAGTATGTTTCCTGGAGGAACACCAGCAAAGATATAACAAATCAGAGAGGTTAGATTCCACAGGTTATACAAAAAAAATATTAAAAAATAAAAAAATTCAGTACTTCATACAAAATAGTCTTCTAGGAAAACAATCAACAGAGATTATATAAAATTTAAGTGCTAACGGAGAAAAATCCCTATGAAAATATGATTTAGATTAAACATTAAGACTTACATTGGATTGGAAAGGAAGGAGCATGCTTAGAGATTAGTATTACACTTTTGGGTTTCTTTAGAATACAGGTTTAAAGTGACAATGGTAACAATGATTTATTAAAATTTACTGATTCGAATACAAATAATGTATACACATTTTCTACATACAGTTTGTGGAATTTGTAAATACACAAACAATAGAATGAAACTTGGATCACGGATCATTTTCCACTGTGTTCCCTTCACAGTCGTACCTTATATCTCTGTAGCTGCTCTCATCAGGCGGTTTCGACTTGACGTGCATCTGTCTCTTTGGTTTGTGCTTGTTCTCTTTAACTTGTACATTGTGATGATGCAACACCTGTCGTGTAAAGTGTAGAACCAAAAAAGAAAAACTTAAAAGTATAAAAAGCAAATAAAAACAAAACAACAACTAAATTGTTAAAGAAGCAAGATATAGCTAATAAAAACTCAACCAATGAAGGCAGTTATTTTATTTTATTTTATTTTTTTTGTAAATAACTTTATTGTTTTAGTCATCATAAGGCAAAAGAAAAAAGAAAAACCACTAAAAATTACTTTTTAAAATAAAAGAAATTCTGAAATTTCCTCCTGTGGTCTGCGGTGTGATGAACCATTAATTTGATCCTCACCAGGATCTTTTTATATTTGCTGAGTTAGTTTGTCAGACATATTTTAGCATTGCGTCTGTAAAAAGATTATGAATAGAATAGAAAAGAACACACTTTATTTTTTCAAGTAAGTTACAACATGATAGGAGAAGAAAACTACCAAGGGGAGGACTACGTCGGAGGGTCATGAATTTCAACTAAACTGTTTTGGTGATTCTACACTCCAAAATATTGGACACTTATTTGCCATTTCTGGTGAACAGGCCCTGGTTTCACTCAAAATTTTTCTTGAAAGCACATTTCTTTTTTGCCGTTCTACGTGCAATAAATATATAATAAAAGCTATCAACGTTTATCAATAACCCAAAAAATTTCTAAAAAAAATTATATAAATTTTTTTTTCAAAGTTGAAATTTTTTGTGTTTTAATATTTCAATTTTGCCATTCTATTTGCTCAAATTGACTATGTGAAAATATTACCATTTCACAGAATTTTTAACGTAGATTTCAATGAAAAATGTAAAAATTATCAATGTTTTTCAATAACAAAAATTTCTAAAAATCAAATATTTTTCAAGTAAATTATGCCATTTTTTTCATGAAACAAATATGTAATTTTATTTTAGCACCTCTGTATACCCCTAAATATAAACTATAGTTTGAATTTAAATTTAATGAATTGTTAACCTATACAATTTTTGAGAAATCGGCTATAATTCTAAAAGGGGTAAAAGGATTTTATCATCAAACAGACTATTTAAAAGAAGAGAAACGTAGTGTTTCTTTTATAGAAATAATTATAATATACAATTATAAAATACATTTGACAATTTCTTTAAAAGGAATTATCATCCATGGAAATTGGTCCATCAGTTTTGAGAAAAATGCTGTTAGCATTTGCTATATGTATGTCAGGCGGAGATCGACAAAATTATTAATGCTAGAATCCCGATAATGACGTCAAATCCAGGTTTTGATTATTTTATGACCTGCTTTGTTTAAATATGCAAAAAAGCAGTATTTTGTTGATTTATGCTTTTAAATTGTATCAAACTAGATTATTCTGCGCCTTAGAACATTTTTGTTTTAATGTTAACCAACAATCAAATTAATGCAGCAAAAATAATATTAATTTTTTTTTAATCTATTGAAAATCTGCTGGAACTGAAAGCGTTTTTGAATTTACCTAACAAATAATACAAAAAATGATATTTTTTTAATCCCTAAATAACAATTTATGCTCAGTTAATTGTGAGTAAAATTAGATTTTGAAAACGCTTCATTAATCTGATTAAGTTGGTTAGGGATGGATCAAATTCAAGTTGATTTATTATTTATTTAACCCACGAACCTGGCTGCCCCATTGTGTGTTCTCTACAGTATGGATTTTATTCTGACTGCCGATGGTTTTACCAAAAACAAGAAGAAAAAATATGAAATAAATACTGTTCTGACGAAACAAGGTTGCTTAGAATTTTTTTTTTTTTTTAATTAAAAATTTAGTTCCTTAACCAGTTTGTACCTATACTTCCAAGCATGTCGGGCATATCTTATAAAGATAAAGAAAGAAATGATGAAAATGTCGAAATGCCGAAACATGTCTGACAGACCGATCCAGCGAAGATGGGCAGACCAAGGCTAAAATTACAAAATAAAAGAAAACTTAAAAGAATTGCATGCAAAAGTGGTTTAAACGGGTAAACTCTTCTTGAAAAAATAATTTGTTAACAAAAGGCATCAACCTGAATTAAAAGTGCCATTTGAAATAAAAGCATAAAAAATAAAAAATTGAAAGTTAGTAGATATAAAATTCAAGTCAAATCAAAACAGTGAAAATATGACTTGCAGTTAAAAAAAGAAAAATATTATTTCCGGTAAAAATTCTTACATTACCTTATTCAAAGCTTCCAGCACTTTGTCTGGCATGTGGTCTTGTATCATAACCGGCGAAATGAGGACTTCATTGAAATCTGTATTGTTGGCCCAAATCGCCTGGTACACTGGGTCGTGCTTCTTAAGTACTTGTCTGGAAAAATAATGCAAAAATTCGCATGAAAACTTTGATCATTTATTTATTATTTATTTACGTTATGTAACGATCTGGATTTGCACATGATATAGATCACCCTTGTAAGACAAGGGGAATTAACAACCATTGTTAGGACGAATCCTCATTTAGTAGGTTGTGAGGCCATCTACTTTCATTCGTCTGGTAGGATTATAAGGGTGGTTTTTATTGGAAAAGAAATAAAAAAAGAGTTTATTTTCAAAAGGTTGAAAAAAAATGTTTTTGGTGATTTATTCATCCAAAGATCATTTACCCGACCCTCAGTCAAATCATGCCAAAATTTATTGGATATTTTAAATTTGATTGAAATATTAAGATTCCACTCACCTCCATCTTTTCTCATATTTTTGCCTGTAAGACATGAAAAGAGTAAAAATAAAACAATAGATTTTATTGACTGCTAAAAGCCAACAGTGTTCTATGGCAAATATGCATGGTGCGGATGTGACGAAACAATATAAATTTATGTATGAGTTTGAACCATGAGGCTACTGTCTATAATTACCTTGTTTGTAAGATTACAGATATCGCTCAAAGGAGCTGAACCTTAATGATTAGGGAACAAAGTAACAATGAGCAGTATATTGTGTTAGAGGCTTGGGTTATCCTGCAAAGGTGAGCTTGGGTCTTGGCATGTCCTTTTCTCTCAATCCAATTCCCATGGGGTGCTCCAAGGAGACTTCCCAACTCTTGGTTTAAAGCGCAAGATGTATTCGTGTTTCCTGGTGCAAATTATCTCCTTAAGCACCCTCCGCATGCATTTAAGAAATAGGACGAAGGAAGCGTATAGTATGCGAGGATGCAAACTACGCCTTCTCAGCCCCTCAAAATGCATAAAGGAAGTTGTTGGATTGCGAGCTGGCCGTGGACAGTGGGTGCTATATCAGTGGCAGATGTGGGTTAGGGTAACAGATCCTGTCTGCATAGATGGGGGACTGTATGACATATATGATAGCACAGTGTCGTCCATTCTAAGCCCAGTATTTCGCTATGAGAAAAGGATTCATCAATGGCTGCGTGTGACCTTAGAGAAGAGCCTGTTGTTTGGTAGTGCCTGCATGGGCGTCCTTTACCGAAGGCAGGTTCCTCTATGGGGTGGTAAGAAGTTCCACTTTAAATGAAACCGCGGCCAGAGCGGATCTGGAAGTTTCGACACTGGCGAGGCCCCTACTCTCAGGGAGATAGAGTTGTCGTCTCTGTCTAGGGAGTGCGTTGGGAGACTGGCTGTTGAATTTCCCTTTGGGTATCCTTTTACGCACAGTTAAGTGCACATTGTTGACCCACCCCTTCTGACGAGGCAATCGGGAGAAGTAGGCTTGTCTGTTTGATTAGTCTGTGGATGAGATGACCTCTTTGTTTAAGATATTTCGACCCCCAATGGGAAACATATATCCTTCGTCCTCCTCCACTTAAACCTTCAGTGGTCCTTCTGGTTCGAGGAGGTTTGACTTGCTCATTGTGTCGCAGTCCACTGGGATCGTGACAATTTTTTATATTTTTCTTATTCTTAAATCTTTTTCACTTGCTTCAGCCAGGCCGGGTGAGTATCAGGGTCATAACGTTATTCGAGGAAGGATACAGCCAGCGCGAAGTCGCAAGAAGAGCTGAGTGTATAAATCACTCCTACTGGAAGTGTTCTTAGTTCTTCAGAGAAACAAGGCTCACACGAATAAGACAGGTCAGGGACAGCTACGTACAAGAGACGATAGATTCATCATCATCAGGCTCTACGAACCCGCTGCATTAGATTGCCTTATCTTAGATTGGAAATTAGATATAAAATGTGATAAGACCGAAATGTTTCAGTTTCCTCCAGGAGTGTAAGAAGAAGGATGAAAATAACCTCAGGGCCTGGCACCCGGCTTGTGGACCTCTTTTAACCACAGCTCAAAAAATGGCCAGGTTTGAATGGGAACATGTGAAATGGACATTGGAGTTCTCTTTACAGTTGAGGTGAGAGTTGGCTTCAACTCTTCAAATGGAGACGTTCAGGAGAAAGGTACGCTTCATGCTGTATGGTTCTTAAGGTGGCATTCTTCAGGAATCAATAAATGTTAAGAGGTTGCATTTCCTTGGATGCCTGCACTGGTGGTTGTGCGAGGAAAATCTCTAACTTCCCACGGGTATTTATAGAACATGATCGCAGAACATATAATGCTATTTGCCCCCACATCAGTGAGAAATTCTTGCTAATGCAGGATAATGCCAGGCCCCATAGAGCACGTGGATGACTACGTGAATATGGTTGAAATTCAGTGCTTGGTGTGGTCAGTTCGAAATCCAGATTTGAACCTATTGAACACATTTATGACGGTGAATCCCAGATCCTAACACCCGAAAAGAATTGGAAACGGCTTTTCTTGATGAATGGGAAAGACATCCTCAGGGTTTTACCAGAATATTTTTCAAGAAATGCAGGGAGTTTATCGTTCGCGATTCGTGCCAGAGGTGAAAATACTCGGCATTAAAGAGGATAGAAAAGTTTTTTAGTATGCAAATATGATGATGATATAAACCTAAATACATTACGATTTAAAACGGGTGCGTTAATTTTATCCATCAGTGTAAATGACTCATTCTTAGCTGAGACTATTCCATTTTCAAATTTTCTTATTCCTATTATTTGTCATACCATAAGTAAAATGTTATCTCATAAATATTTTACATATGCTTTCTTACTCGGTTTTTGAAGGATGGTGTCTCACTACATGTATTATGCTTCCGGGTGGATAGAGAGGCTGATGGAGAGTCAGTGAGATGCTTGAGTCGTTTGGATGCACTGCTGCAGCCCTTGCCTTATCTTTTTCCAGCTGGTATGCTGTCATTGTAGCAGTGTCACCTTTCAACTCGACAGCCGATGTCGGCATGGATGCACAACCGCAGCAGAAAACACTGCACGTTATGATCTTCCACTGAAAAATAATTAGGGTAAAGACCGATGGGTATTGTTTCCCAATATTGTTTACCTTTGGGTCTTTGCTTCTCTTGATCGCATTGATAAGGTCTGCTCGTAAGGCTTCTAACTGATGCAGGCCAATCCTCGGCACAAGGTCTTTTCCAAGGACAACAGATGTTACAAAACTTTTTGTGTATTGTACTGCTGGTAAGCTGTAGAAAATAAGTAAGCATAGAATTACAAATCTTATTGGATCATAGAAACATTACCTTAATAATCCTCCAGGTGGTGAATAAGCGAAGCACTGTAGGTCTGGGTAGTTTTGCCTTAAAAGTATTGCCAAGATTGCTGCAGTTCCGGCTCCAAGAGAGTGTCCAACGAGGCAAAGGGCAAACCTCTGATTTGGCTTCTCATTCGCCGCAACGGCAAAAGCTTCATTGAGGATATTTTCTTTCTCTAATTTGTCTTTCATGTAAATCGCTGCTTGCACCATTCCCTGGAGGTAAAAATTAAGATTTTACTTAGCAACAAGTGGTAGGTGGTAGAATGTGAAATAAAATTGATGGTGGGTGTTGGTCTTCGAATGAGAACATATTGAACTTGCACTGGGTCTTCTCACTGAAGATGGCACAATGGTGAAATGGACCCAGTGCCAGTTCTAAATGTGAATTATCCTAAAAAAGACATATGATGTATTGTTTTTTATAATTTATTCATACTTTGTGCCCGAGCCAATCTTCCCTTGGTGGGTTCAAGGGTAGCGTTTCACTTTCGGCATTGAGGTCTGTCAGTACGTCCTGGATGGACAGGGTGCCTCTAATGCTGACAACGATTTTAGACCTGTTGTAGTCAACTGCAACGAAAAAGGCAGTCTCCGCGACATCTACGTGGAATGTAGAATATATTATACTGACTTCCCCTTTCGACAGCATAGCCCTCAGGGCTGCGTAATTGCATCCGCAGCAGTTGTCACCATTGACATTTTGGTTCGACCTGCACAATTGACAGCTAAAACAAATAAAAAACATCAGAATCTAAAATCTCGTCCCACCGGCTCGTTTTACCTGAGGTTTTGACAAAGTGTGCACATTTTTGTGACTGGGGTTGTGAGAAAAAACAGAGGCCATCCGTAGGCTGCGAGCGCGAAGTGCATATAGTGTATGACAGCCTCAAAGTGCTTGTAGTGCTCCGTGTTCCCGAGGGGCAAGAATTTCGTTTTGGGCGTGACCGGGACCCCGCTCAGATACTCATAGATCCCGTTTTTACGCTGGGAATTCAAACTTTAAAACCAAGAAGAGAGTGGAAGCATTTGACCACTTGATATTCACCTGGGCGACATTGCTCTCCTGCTCGATCTTCTGGAATTTCCTCAAGAGGATGAGACCAGCGACTACGTCCGACGGGACTACGTCCAAGTCTCTAAAAAAGTCCGACAACATTCTGGCAATATCGGTGAAAGAATTCTGCAATTCACAATATAAGAAAATAAAATAAGGACCACGTAATGTAATTTTATTGAGTACATCACATAAACACTTAACCTTTTTTCTATCAGAGCTTCTAATACAGCAGAAAATAATTTTGCATCTTTGGTCCCAACTGTCTTGGTAAGCTCGTAGTACTTTTCTATAAAAATATTCATGTTAACAAAGCAGGCATTTTAAATCTGCAACAGTACTTAGTAACTGTCGTGCCAAAAATTGTTATTGCATTGCACATTAGCAAATTAAATTAGTTGATGTCACCAATAAATTATTTTGTACAAAATGTGACTACGTAGAGATTGTTGGCCATCTTGTTTTGTATCGATGTTAACCTAAAAAAGTCTAAGTGAATATTGGGTTAACTAACCAATCCAGTCAGTAAGGTCTTAACAATCAAAAAGCTGATATAAATCTCATCGTTGGTCATTCACATTCACTTATGTTATTTCTTTCTTATCATTAATTTATTTATTCTATTCTTAAGTTATTTATCATGCACAAGAAATGTTACAAGAAGGCGAAATTTGTTAGATATTCGATAGATCAATGCAGCAGCCCATCACCTTTGCCTCCAATTCCTCGCCCTATTCCCTGACCTCTTGTACTGAAACCGAGATTCGGACTCTTTCATTGACAACTGGTACTTCTTCATCTTGACCCAGCTGCGGCCTGCTGTGTCAAAGACGCACCAACCGGTAAGGAGGATGGCGATGTCTATCACCCAGTTCCATATGACCATACCTTTGAAAACAAAATCGACAATAAATTATTAAAACTGATTTTATAATAAATAATATTTATATATGACAGGGTTTAAAATATTGTAAAAAGTCCTGTCAAATTATGGCAGTTGAAGACGGACGATCCTGCGTCTGGAGGCTAAGTCGACTTGGGGAATGGCCATGAGTGAAACCCAAACTTACACATGGGCATCTCTAGTCGGAAACAGTCCATTGTACAGAAAAAAATAAGTGTCCAGCACATAGAACAATGCAGAAGTTAGAAGCCTGCAAGAGGAGATTCAGTGTAATTGTGGACTTATGTGTGAGTTCAAGCGCAACCGATGGCTGTACCAGTGCCTCAGGGATATTAGAGTTGCATGTAGTGCGTTTTTGTCTTGTGTATGTTGCTTTATTAGCATAAATGAGAAGGTCCTCTACCCTGAGGAAAATCTAGTACTCTACCGTGAGAGTGATCTCTCGAAAGTAAAAGTAACTTATTAGCGAGAATGAGGGCTTCATGCCACTACAAGAAATATCTGACCAGTCTGGACTGACAGTGTGATGTCTGGAGAGCATGAGCATTGGCTCATTAATTTGGTGGAAGTTCAACGAAAACAAACTACCCGAAAATTAGGCCGCGAACAAAAATTGATAAATCTATGCATCACAAAAGCAATGACACCCATAGAAACTACCTCTAACCCTTACTTATTTAGAAAAATTATAAAAGGAGAAGATGGGAAAAGTTCATTTAGACTCCACAACAATCAAATTTGATGGGCTAAACAATTCGGGCGCAGCAATAACAAATAAAATCAGTCATCCATACTTTAAATCAGAAACATTATATAAACACGAATTGTATGGTATACAGGGAATCTATTGTAACCAAAACCAATAAAAGAACACAGTTATGATCAGACAAGACATGAGCAATCAAAATCACTAGAGAAGTATACATCGATCTTTCAAGCCGAAGCTATCAATGCATGTGCCATAGAAAATGTTAAAAGAGCCATTGACAAAAAAATCTTGTAACATCACACAGCCAACAGTCATAAAAGTACTAGAACATAGAAGGTCCACAAGGGTCAGTGAATCCATCCAAATTTTCCAAAACAAAGGAAAACATAACCTGGCAATATCTTCGGTGACAAGGCAGAAAGGAGCTCTTGGTAATGAAAAAACGGACAAACTGGCCAGAGGAGGATTTGAAAGACCATAGGCCCAGAGTCTGTACATGGGATAACAAATACACTCCTCAATCTCTGATTGGGCTACCAAAAAACAAAACGAGAAATGGACGTATTCTAGAAGGGTTAGACACAGTAAACTCATGATTAACCTTACTATAGTTTAGCTTGGGGTGCCGGATTGGGGGTCACTTGGGCACGTGCGAAAAAATTAGTGTCACGAGCGGGATTCGAACCCACGACCTTCGGTTAAAATCGCCGCTGCTCTAACCATTTGAGCTATCGTGACTTCGATCCTCTCGGACATCAACTTCCCATCTCAACCTACCTTTCGAATTTTTCCTCTTTTTGCCATTTTCAAATGTCGTGAGGATTGGACAAATGAAATGGCCACGGAGAGCTTTAGTGAAGATATACTTCATTTTACATATTAAATCCATTAGATTTCGTGGTCTGATTAACCAAATAACATCTTTCAATTAATTAATCTTTATGTAAGGTACCGGTTGAGATGAAAGTCATGTCACGAGCGGGATTCGAACCCACTATTTTCGGCTAAATACAGGTTGAGATGGGAAGTTGGTATCCGAGTGGATCGAAGTCACAAGCTCAAGTGGTAGAGCAGCGGCGTATTTAGCCGAAGGTTGTGGGTTCGAATCCCGCTCGTGACACACCTTACATAAAGTTTTACTTTATGCTTAATAAAAATATTTATTCGTGCCATTAACTTTTTTTCATCTCAACTAAAAACCTTAATTAATTGAATTGTAACAATGATAGTTAATAATCTACTATTGAAATGAACTAAGAAACTAGGAAAAGTTCAATAAGCCAATAGGCTGCAGTGTTTGATGAACATCAACTTACTAGTGTCTAGTATGTTTTTCATTGTAATAAAAATAAAATATAGCGATTAGTAAAAAAAAACTAGCTTACCTAAAAATACTTGCTTAAAGCCCTCAATAGGGCATGTCCTGTAATTGTACACCAACCAATGCACACCAAAGGAAAGAATAACCATTTCGAACAACATCATCACTGAAAAGAAAACAGAAAACGTTAAAAACAAATTCGAAATCAATTTAACGTGTGCTTTTCACATATTTGCAAACATTGTGTGATGAAAAGGAGTGAGTCAACTGTAAATAAGCGTATGCAACAAACAACTCTTATTTGTTTATTTACTGTTTATATTTGTTTTATTGATTGCTCCTTTTATCGACTGTGAGCTTCTATAAAAATCATTCCTCTTCCCGGCGTTCCCAAGCGCTTTATCTCAAAGGAAATTATTACTGATAAAAGTCGGAAATCGGATATCTAAATATAGAAAACAATAATTGGCCTGGCATTCTCGCGAAATATTTTTTGATGTTTAAACAATTTTCATCGAGGAAAAAAGTAACAAAAGTCTCTCTTTATCAAAGGAACAGCAAAAACATTAAGGACAGGATCAACACGATAATATTGTGACACTTTATTTCCAATAAAAAGTCCATTTTGAAATAAAATTCGTTGGTTGTTTACAAGTTTTATTTTATATTTTGTGTTTTCCTTTTGACGAGCTTATCTATGGAAACTTTCCAGTTCCTGGATAAGGTAGGTTGATTCTAAGTTCTATAATTTACCTGTCAATTGTACAAAATTGATGGATCACGACAGTTTGTTTAGTTTCTTATACATTTTTAAAAGCATGAACATTTCATGCTAGAATTTATTATGCTAAACATAGCTCTTGTATAAATATTATTGATGAACGTGTTCGTCGCCATGGAGGGCATTACTCATCACAACGGACAAACAGACTTAAAAAGTTCGACCCAGAACTTGATTTCTTTCCTTAAATTCGTCACATTTTTGAAAAACCAAGGTTTTTTTTTATTATAACTAAATTTAGTTTTGTCTCAAAAATTGTAACCCAATCCAAATTCAATTTTTCTAAAAATAAATTTCATTCGCAATAAACCTGGACCGATTTGTAACTTTCTTGATGTAACTAACTTCACCTTCAAATTTTTAAGATTTGGTAAAAAGTGAATCAGGAATGTCAGTTTCTCACTGAATTGTCGGCCTGCTTTTTTGTGGCCAAGGACGAAACCGAGGTACAAGGCCTAATTCTGCTGTCTTGAGGGACTTAATTAAACTAAACTGGATTGGTAAAACACCACAATTAAAGTTCAAACTTTAAAGCATAAAAAAAACAAGGTTGATATTTCTTATCGAGGTCTTCTGGGTGATAAACTTGTCATTTCTGATCATTCTGGCCTTCAGTAATAAAAAAAATTATTTTATCAGATTTAATTTCGTTAGACAGTTTTCACTGTCATTTACTTTAAAGTGGAATTCATTATAGTATAATTTTGGACTGGAAATGCATTTTCAAGCCTTACAAGAGGACGACCAGGTTGGTGTGACACGGATTTGGACTTTTTTTTGGTGATGCTACACTCCAAAATATTGGACGCGAATACGCCATTTCTTGTGAATAGGTCCGGTTTCGCACAAAAAAGTTTTGAAAGTTGAAATTTTCTTTTTTTTAATATTTTATTTCGCCGTTCTACTTGATCAAATCTACTGTGTCAATATATTCGTTTGCAATATTTTTTATGTTGATTTTAATAAAAATATAGGAAAAACTATCAAAGTTTATCAATATCCAAAAGATTTCTAAAAACCAAATATTTTTCAAGTAAACTAGGTCATACATTTTTTTCGTGAATTTAATATAAAATTCACTAGCTTTCGTGGTCCGCTTGACTAATTAATATCTTTCAATTAATTAAGGTTTTTTAGTTGAGATAAAAAAGTCAGCGTGACGAGCGGGACTCGAACCCACGATCTTCGGCTAGATACACCGCTGCTCTACCACTCGATCGACTCGGACACTAAATTCCAATCTCAACCCCACCTTTTTGAATTTTACGTCCTTTTTGCCATTTTTCAAATGTCGTGATATCTATTTGATTCTCGGCGACAAATGAAATGGCCACGGAGAGCTTAAGTGAAAATATACTTCATTTAAACTTATTAAATTCACTAGTTTTCGTGGTCCGCTTGAACAATTAATATCTTTCAATTAATTAAGGTTTTTAGTTGAGATAAAAAAAGTCAGTGTCACGTGCGGGAGTTAGTGTCCGAATGGATCGAGGTCACGATAGCTCAAGTGGTAGAGCAGCGGTGTATCTAGCCGAAGATATTGGGTTCGAATCCCACTCGTGACACTGACTTTTTTATCTCAACTAAAAACCTTAATTGACTAATATAAAATTTCGTTTTAGCACCTCTAGAGACCCCTAAATATATAATTCAAAAACGGCTAAAAGGATATTTTAACGTCAAACATACCATTTGAAAGTAGAGGAACTTTTTAACGATATAGCCTAAAAATATATAAAAGATTTCTATAAGAAAAAACACAAAATAAGAAAATTGTTTGTCAGAAAGTTGAAACTTTTGAAGGTTGAAATTTTGTATTTTAATATTTATTTCACCGTTCTACTTGCTCAAATTCTCACTTATCAGCAAAGACTGCTTGGGTTTGTTAGCAAGCAAAGACCAGCATTTTGGTGTTTATTAGTGCAATTCAGTAATATTATATATATCCAATAGAGAAAAAATATCTGTGCGGAATTCTTCAGAAAATGGACAGAATTTGGATTTGACCTCACTGTCATATTTCTAGCATTATACACCCATTTTCTTGCCAAAGAGGAAATTCAATATTAAATAAAATTAAAATATTAATAAAAATTATAAATAAAATCAGTCATTAATATAAGTAAATTTATTACTTATTTTTATTATTAAAGAAAAATTTAATTGAATGAACATAAATAGTTATTTATGGGTTAAACATTTTTTGTTGTATTAATTTTATTGTTGGTTAACATAAAAGCAAAATTCTTCTACGACGCGGAGTATTCTAATTTGGTATGATTTGTAAAGATAAATGAATGCTATGATGATAAATGATAAATGTTTTTTATCTCATCTAAAAACCTTAATTAATTGAAAGATATTAATTGGTCAAGCGGAGCACGAAAACTAGTGAATTCAATAAGTTTAAATGAACTATATTTTCATTTAAGCTCTTCGTGGCCATTTCATTTGTCGATTATATCTCGACATTTGAAAAATGGCAAAAAGAAGGTAAAATTCAAAAAGGTGGGGTTGAGATTGGAAGTTAGTGTCCCAGTGGATCGAGGTCACTATAGCTCAAGTGGTAGCAGCGGTGTATCTAGGCGAAGTTCGTGAGTTCGAATCCCGCTCGTGACGCTGACTTTTTTATTTCAACTAAAAACCTTAATTAATTGAAAGATATTAATTGGTCAAGCGGACCACGAAAACTAGTGAATGTACTTAAAATATTTAATCCTTAGCTTCTAGGCTCCATTTGCAAGAACCCTCTCACCCTTGTCTAATATTTTTTGACCTAGTATTAACAAAAAAAGTTTTAATGAAATCTGTGACCCTTAAGCCTCTTCTTGTTAATTTATTCATAGACAATATGCTAAATCCGTGTTTTCCTGCCTTATTGCTCATATACGGTCAGAAAAATTCCTATCTGGTATCATAACACTACCAAGAAATGTTTAACCATCACAAGGCATAAGAAGAATTTTTAACTTTCAGTCTGCGTTACGTGAACAACGACTTAAATGGTGTTCTTTTTTAATGCAATGTGATTTTTTTGGCAAGAACCCAATGAGGTCTAGGTCTATGTTATTTATGTTTGGACGGGGCAGGTGGGACAATCGTCTGTTTGGCTCATGCACTAATCACTTTTTGTGTTCAACAAGCTAATTTACAGTATTCCAAAATCGATAGATTTGCGCAACTTGGTCCGCCTGGGCGGTGATGACGTACCTTTTAGCCCGATCCTGCTTTACACCCCTAATCGCATAAAGTACCACTTGCCTGTCAGGGTTATTAATAACCGGTCCACGTTAATCAAGGATAATGTTTGGCGGTCAACGACTATCGTTCACGCCTTCATCATATTGACTTTAATATTTCCTCTCGACTCGTTTTTATTTAAACTTTTTAAAACAACTGGCACGGTCATGTTTCTGATTGTGGCAATAAATCCAAAACTGGCACCGGAATATCAAAACATTCAATTTCAAGTAGGCATAAATTTGACTTTTCGAACGTTGAAAGCATTTTCTTTTTTTACTTCATTTATTTTTATCTAATGTAAATGTACATGTATTATATACAACCAACATATTGGATTTCAATTAATGCTTGTGGCATTATGGGCGATATAGAGAACCCCCACTGTCAACCGTCCTGGATTAATAAAACGATATTAATCATTTAAGTGGTCTATTATCAATATTATTTTCAGATTCACTAGATTTCGTGGTCCGCTTAACGAGTTAATATATTTCAATTAATTAAGGTTTTTAGTTGAGATAAAAAAGTCAGTGTCATGAGCGGGATTCGAAAAATGGCAAAAAGGAGGTAAAATTCAAAAGGTGGGGTTGAGATGGGAAGTTAGTGTCCGAGTGAATCGAGGTCAAGATAGCTCAAGTGGTAGAGCAGAGGCGTATCTAGCGGTCGTGGATTCGAATCCCGTTCCTGACACTGACTTTTTTATCTCAACTAAAAATCGTAATTAATTGAAAAATTATTTTCAGAGGTTTACGTGGTAATTGTCAGAAATGGAGTAATCATATTTCTATGCTAGTGTGATTTTGTAATTTACTATGGAAACGCCTGTAATATGTTTTGATGGATGAAAAATCTATTGGCAAGAGAAGATCTCTTTGAAGTGTGTTATTGTTTACGTAAAAAGGAGCAGAAACAAGCAGTCTAAAAATTTTGGATTGAAAACTTTGTATTCTTGGAATATTGGAATATTTGGCCGATCCATAAGCTTGGCACCCGTACATCCAAATAGGTCTGTGTAAGTATACGTCTAAAGTTCGAAGTCATGATAGCTCAGGTGGTAGAGTTGCGGCGCATCTAGCCGAAGGACGTGGGTTCGAATCCCACTCGTAACACTGACTTTTTTATCTCAACTAAATTAACAATTA